AAAACACAGGAGCACGAGGCCTGTGGGTTTGGATACATGGTCGTCCGGTGTGATGGGGAAACGAAAGCTCCCATAGTGTACAGAGGACCCGACGCGACTGAAAAGTTTCTAAAGTGTTTGCAGGAGGAAGAGAAAAGTATTAGGAATGCACTATACACAGTTGCTCCCATGCGTATGACTCAAGCCGACCGGCTAGCTCACGCCTGCAGCACTCACTGCCATGTGTGTGACTCACCACTGAACGGTGATTCGGTGAGAGATCACTGCCACGTCACCGGTAAGTATAGAGGCGCCGCTCACAACGCGTGCAACCTCAAGCTTAGAATCACCCCCAAGACAATAAACATCCCCCGTGGTCTTCCACAACTTGAGAGGGTACGACTCTCACTTGATCATGCAGGCCATCGCGAAAGTCGACGGCAACCTGACGTGCATCCCCAACAACATGGAGAGATACATCTCCTTCAGCTTGAATGGTCTGAGGTTCATCGACTCGGTTCAGTTCCTCCTGTCATCACTCGACAGTCTGGTCAAGGCCAACGATACCTTCCCCATCACTGATCGATATACCAACGCCGAGACTCGACTCTGCTGATGAGGAAGGGCGTGTACCCCTACGAGTACATGGATGGCTGGGCCAAGTTCGCTGAGACCAGACTACCCCCCATCAACCTATTTTACAGCAACCTGACCGACTCGACAATCACCTAAGACGATTACTCGCACGCGATTGACGTATGGAATAAACTGGGCTGTAAGAATCTGGGTGACTACCACGACCTGTACTTGAGGACAGATGTACTCCTGCTAGCCAACGTGTTCGAGATGTTTAGGCAGACGTGTTTTAAGCAGTATCAACTCGACCCCGCATGGTATTACACCAGCCCAGGTCTGTCGTGGGATGCATTGCTGAAAAAGACCGGAGTTAAGTTGGAATTGCTCACCGATTACGACATGCACCTATTCATTGAGAAAGGCTTGGACGGTGGGATTTCCATGGCTACCAAACGATACGCAAAAGCCAATAATCAATACGTGAAGGGCTACGACCCGAGCAAGCCAACCAATCATATTCTCTACCTCGACGCCAACAACCTGTACGGTTGGGCCATGAGCCAGTATCTACCCACAGGGGGGATTCGAATGGGCATCGCACGAGATCGATGTTATGAGCATCGCGCCGGATTCGAACAAAGGCTATATCCTTGAGGTTGACTTGGAATACCCCAAGGCATTACACACATCGCACAGCAGCTACCCCCCTGGCCCCCGAACGTATGAGGGTTAACCCAGACTGGATGTCTGAGTACCAACATAACTTGCTAGGTGGGCGGGTGGCAGACGTTGAAAAACTAGTGCCCAACTTAATGAATAAGAGCAAGTACATCATTCACTATCGCAACCTACAGCTGTACCTGTCGTTGGGTATGAGGCTGACCAAAATACACAGGGTGCTCGTGTTCAACCAGAGCCCCTGGATGGAGCCATACATCAGAATGAACACGGACCTGCGAAAGCTGGCCACCAGTGACTTTGAGAAAAACCTCTACAAGCTCATGAACAACTCGGTGTTTGGTAAGACTATGGAGAACCTGAGGAAACGCGTGACCGTGAAGCTGGTTCGGTCGAAAGAGGAAGACAAGCTCAGGAGACTGATAGCCAGCCCGGCATTCAACCGGGAGCAAGATATTCACCGACGACCTGGTGGCCCTGCACATGAAGAAAAGCCACATCAAATTCAACCGGCCTGTTTACGTGGGGATGAGCATCCTCGATTTATCCAAACACCTGATGTACGACTTTTACTACAACGAACTGAAGAAACAGTAGGGTGACAGGTGTGAAGTGCTGTACACTGACACGGATTCCCTGCTGATTGAGATTCGAACCGAGGACGTGTACGAGGACATGAAGAAACGCCTCGATTTGTATGACACCAGTGACTACCCCAAGGACCATGCCATACACAGCACGGTAAATAAAAAGGTCCTCGGTAAGATGAAGGACGAGTGTGCTGGCACGCCCATAGCTGAGTACATAGGCTTGAGACCCAAGATGTACTCCATCCTGAAGGCCGACAATTGTGAGATCCGAAAGGCGAAGGGTGTTAAGAAGTACGTGGTTAAACAACACATCAAACACGCCAGATTCAAGGAAGCCCTGTTCAAGACCCATACCTTCAGGCATAAAATGAACACGCTTAGAAGTGATGGGCATAGGATATACGGACTGATGATAAACAAGACGTCCCTGTCGCCGATGGACACTAAGCATTGGATAGCTATTGATGGGATCAACACGTACGCGTACGGGCATGAGAAAATTGAACCAAGAACATAGGTGTATATATAAATACGATACCATGTCACGAAACCAAAGAAAGTTTGAGGCTATTTACTACAGCCCGCGTGGGTACTGGAAAGGAGCTAGCGCCGTACATAAGCTGGCTAAAATGGCACGAGTACCCCCAAACGAGGCCAAAGCGTGGCTTGAAAAACAAGCCCTGTGGCAGATCTATTTACCGGCACCACGATACGTGAAAAGAAGGAAGTTCGGTATTAACATACCCAATAGCGTTCACCAGGCCGACCTCCTGTTCCTACCCCACGACAAGAGGTACAAGTATGCCCTAACCGTCGTGGACGTGGCCAGTCGCTACAAGGAAGCCGAACCCTTGTCCGCGAAAGACTCGGCCAAGGTAGCCCGCGGATTCGAACGCATGTACAAACGCAGTCCGCTGACGTGGCTCACAGAGCTGCAAGTCGACCCCGGGCGGGAGTTCATGGGTGCCGTGTCACAACTGCTAGACAAACACGATACCAAAGTCAGGCGTGGCACGGCCGGGGCTCATCGCAGCCAAGCCATAGTCGAGAGATTCAATAGGACTTTGGCCGAGCGCTTATTCGGGCATCAGTATGCGAGAGAGATGGCCAACCCGGGGAAACGATCGACTGAATGGGTAGCGCGGCTACCTCAAGTGGTGTCGGCAATCAACCACGAAACCACCCGGCTCACTGGCAAGAAACCAGCCGACGCTATCAAACTAAAATCAATAGGGGCTGAGTCGGCTGCACCCTCGCGTGGGAAGGAGAAACAGATACCAGATAGGGTCCTCGTGAGGTACCTCTACCAGCCGGGGGAACAAGAAGGGGATAGTCGTAAGCGAGCCACCAATGCGATATGGTCAGTCAAAACTTACAACATAGATAAAGTGGACATCAAAGCCGACGAGCCGAACTTGTACTACTTGAGAGATGGGCCAGGGAGAGGTTTCGTTAGAGAGGAATTATTGATCATACCGTATGGTACAATGTTACCTCCTGTCAACACGTCATAGCGACACTATTGTGCCACGTGGGGTCGGGAAGTTAACTGGGGGTTCAAAAAGTAGTAGATATACTGGGGCGAGATCTAAGGGCCTGACAAAAGCTTTATTTATGAAATAAAGCTTTACAGAGGCTTTTGTTGGACTTGATCTCGGACTATCATTATATCTACTACAACCAGGTCGGCCATCTTGGAAAAAATATTATGCTTGCAATACTTCGTCAGAAATACTGGATTCTACATGCAAGTTCACTGATCAAGAGCTTAGTTGTCAAATGTGTCGTCTGCCGAAAATATCAAGCAAGAGTGATAGAGCAGAAGATGTCGGATCTGCCACTGGACCTGGTTACTGCAGGTGAGCCCCCCTTCACCAGAGTAGGAATGGACTTCTTTGGACTGATAATCGTAAAGAGAGGCAGAGGTACGATAAAGAGATACGGAGTTGTATTTACATGCTTGGCGATTAGAGCAGTGCATCTGGAAGTTGCGTGTTCACTGGACACCGACTCTTGTATAAATGCAGTGAGAAGGTTCATCTCGAGGAGAGGCCCTGTAAAGTCAATAAGATCAGACAACGGTACAAATCTGGTAGGCTGCAAGAGAGAACTACGTGAAGAGATAGAGAACTGGAATCATGCTCAGATTAACAAACAGCTACTACAGAAGAATGTATCGTGGAGCTTCAACCCTCCAGCAGGCTCACACCATGGAGGAGTGTGGGAGAGAATCATCAGAACTGTGAGGAAAGTGCTGTACTCCTGACTTCATCAACAGGTGATCAGACTAGATTATGAGTGTCTAGTCACTCTATTCTGTGAAGTCGAGTCGATCATCAATGGACGTCCGATCACAACCTCACCAAATGACCCTAATGACCTGGCCCCCCTCACACTGAACCACCTCCTTCTCAACAAGGGAGGAGAGAAGACGCCGCCAGGTATGTTCAACAAAGCCGACTGCTACGTGAAGAGACGATGGCGCCAAGTGCAATACTTGACGAATGTGTTTTGGAAGAGGTGGATCCGTGAGTATCTCCCCCAGCTGCAGGAGCGACAGCGCTGGCTGTCACCTCGGAAGAATGTCCAGGTTGGAGATATCGTACTGGTAGTAGACAATTCACCTCGGAACTCATGGTCCTTAGCAAGGATCATAGAACTGTTTCCAGACCGGAAAGGAATGACCAGAGTGGTAAAAGTTAAGACAGAATCCACAGACTTGGTGCGGCCTATTGACAAACTTTGCTTGATCCTTGAATGTGACAATTGATTTCTTGACAATTTCTAGACTGCTATGCTCAAAGGACTGATTGAGAAAGAACAGAAAGTATAAAATATTGGTATTGATTAGATTTGGTTTGTAATTGTCTCTATTGTCATCGATGCAATTAGGGGCTGGGATGTAGTGTTCAGGTAATAGATTATTTTTTGTTTGTATATAAATTGGTATGAATGGATAGAGTGTTTGCATTTAAGTAGCAAGAGTGAGTGTATAAATATTAAGTGCAAAAGATATGTGTACTAAGTTTGTATGCAAAGTGTCAGGTTTTGAGTATTTTGTATCAAATTGTGAATGTGTGAGTTAATGTATGTATTAAAATGCGCATGTATGAGTTTAAAAGTAAGAAAGAATTTTTGTTATGACAATGTTAAAATATCAGAAAGAGAGAGAGAGAGAGAGATTTGTGAGGTGATTCAGTTACCTGAGGCTAAGGCAAGTCGGGTAACTCTAGTTGGGTGCCTGAGAAGCACATGGGTGACTGAGAGGCACATGGGTGAGAGACAGCTGTGCAGTGAGAGTGTCTCACACATTAGATTTGATGATGTAGAAGGTCAAACAAAATGGTATGTACTCCAACTTATTCTTATATGTATTTATTTGGGTAGCATTATGTTAATTTGGTAATTTTGAATGTCTATATTTTGCTTTTGAAGGTAACTTTGTCAGTGAATGAATGGCGGCCATTTTCTGCATTTTCACTGTGGACTGAAACTTCTGATCCTTTATTTTTGTTATTTCAGTCAATCTTCAAAATTGAACGTCTTCACACTTCCATATCGTCATATTCAACATATTATCATGAGGAATAAAATTTGAGGAATTGACATTTGTTTTCAACTGGATTTAGAAAAAGAACACTAGAACTCTATACAGCATTTAAATAGTTTTCATATTCATTTGTTAACTTAATAGTTTTATAAAAAGACCGTGAAAATAGTTTGTCAAACGATTCAATGAGAAACTGATTATCAATATCAGTGCACCGTGTTCTAAAAGCTGATAGAAATGATTGAATGCAGGAGACAGATTGCTGGTTCCAAATTTCACCAAATCCATAAGAACATAAAAGGTTTTTAACTTTAAGAGCCCATCAATCCAGACCCTTTTCAGTTCAATTGTACTGATATACATAACTGTAATGTAGTATACTGTTTTCACTCTGGGATAATTAACGTAACCAGTACTTAACTATTTTCAAATGTTTATTTACTTTTAATGAGTATCTCCCCAGTTCAGCTCTTGCAACTATATTAGGAACAGATCTTCTTAGCTTTAATATGAGTTTACAGAATTTATCATGAACATTCCAAATATCTTTAGAGGGAAGGAATCCGCATATTTCTGAGCCATATATTATTAGTACGGGCAGTACTTTAACATCAAATATATGAAGTAACATTTTCAAAGGGAGTTTATGAAAATTGTACACATTTGATTGTAACTAAAGTATTACTTTCTAAGCCTGTTGAGACAATATCTTTTGAGATTTATACCATGAATCAGAGCTAGAAAGATGTACTCCAAGGTATTTATAACTGGGAACAATATCAAGCGGGCTGCCATTAAGACAAAACTTTTCGTACTTTTTAAGCCTACCCGCCTTACGAAAAACAACAATTTTACACTTGATTGAATTTACCTTTAGTTGCCACTTATTGCAGTTATCCGTAAGTTTATCTAATCTTTTTTGTAGACCAATAACAGTGCTATCGAATAAGATTATATCATCAGCAAATAAGAGTATGAAGAGATCCAGCTAGTCTAGATTAACACAATATTGCTCATCTACACTCAGAAACTCTGCTATATCACTTACAAAAAATGAAAATAAGAAAGGTGACAATTTGCACCCTTGTCGTACACCAAAGAGGCAATCAAGGAAGGGACTACAACCATTGTTGACCAACACTGACTGACTGACTGAGTTTGGTTTTACGCCGCTTTTAGCAATATTCCAGCAACATCACGGCGTGGGACACCAGAAATGGGCTTCACACAATGTACCCCCGTGGGGATTCGAACCCGGGTCTTCGGCGTGACGAGCCAACGCTTTAACCACTAGGCTACCTATTGACCAACACACATGATTTCACATTTTCATACATATTCTTGTCAAGTCTAAACATTTTCACCTTTACATTACCAATCCTCAGTTTGTAAAATAGGGATGGTCTATGAACAGAATCGAAAGCTGCTTTCAGATCTATGAAAGCGCAGTAAAGTCTACCTTTATAAAGTGATAGGTACTTATTAATGAAGGTGTCAATTACAAAAACATTGTCAATCGTTTGAAAGCCTTTCCTAAAACCTGCCCTGTTCAGGAATAATAATATTTTGATTATCAGCCCATTTCGAAAGTCTCTCACATAAGACTTTAGAAAAGATTTTACCAGAAATCTCAAGTAGAGTGATTGGCCTAAAATTTGCTGGATCATTACTCGGCCCCTTTTTGTGGATAGGAATAATGACACCAAGTGTCCACTGAGACGGGTAAACACCAGTTGACAAAATCATGTTATATAGTACTCTCAACATTTCCAAGCATTGCCTAGGAGCATACTTAAAAAAATCTATTGGGACGCCACGGTACCCAGGGGCTTTCCCCAATGCATACTTGAGATTGCGTCCTGAATTTCGGATACAGATGTGTCATGATCAAGACCATTATCAACATCAGTAGTTGCATCAATGAGGTTGTCAGGTATTCCTGAGACGAAATCATTTACAGAAATATAGAAATCAAGTTCATCTAGATCATAGTTTGTACCATTAAACAGTTCTTCGAAGTGTGCAATCCACGCGAGTGATGTAGTAGTTCCAGGCTGTGATTGTATTTTCGGTCTCAATAAGGACCAGAAAAGTTTACTGTTATTACTCTGTAGCGATTGTTCCAGCTTGTTCACAAACACATCGGCCGAGACAACCGATTTACGCAAGCAGAGTTACTTATAGTGTTTCCGTGCCGAGATGTAGGTCAGCCATAATAATTAATGCTAATTGTAAAAACCTGTCAACGAGGGACAGTAAAATAACTAGATTATCAGAGATTCGAATTTAAAACTAGTAATTAGATCTAAAACAGTTTAGTGAGTGAGTGAGTTAACATTTATCGTCACATCGGCAATAATTCAGCCATATCGTGACGAGAACAGTTTATAATTATATTAAAGATCAATAAAGTTAAAAATTAAAAAACCTGTTGACGAAGAACAGTAAAATTACTAGTGTATCACAGATATCCATTTAAAACTAGCAATTAAATCTAAAATATTGGAACTATAAATGACAATACAATAAAAACAGGCTATAGATTGCCAACGACTGAAGGTAGATCACCATACTAGGGACCATGGGGACTTACAGTACATCTGCTTCCTGCATGGACCCTAGCTGGATTTACACCATCCCCTCAGTCGTTAGCAACGTAGACAAGTCTAGCCGTACATTTACAAACACACATAGCGGAGAGTTTCAATTTACTTTGAATGTTTGTGGACTTACGTATCCTCTCAGGAGGACAATAATCTTACAGTACTTTAACCCCCCCTTGAGGATACAGCCACTAACAATCTGAGTTATTAATTCAAACTTCCAATCATAAAATATTTATCTATTTACAAATCAGTTAACAAATCTAATTCTTTTAAAAATGCAATAATTAAATGAGAACTTATATTACTAAAAAGATTCTTCATAGTTCGTGATTTGAAATAGATATCCCATGTGATGGAATATTCAACACAGTCAAGCAAGACATGCTTGACCGTGATTCTCTCATCACAAGGGATGCAGAACGGAGGATCCTCACCTTTCAATAGGTATTCATGTGTATATCTGGTGTGGCCAATACGACATCGTCGCATGATGATCTCTTCAAATCTGGACTGACAACTCAAATAGGTGTAACCAATATAGGGTTCTATTTCATGTAATTTATTAATACCCACTTGGGTGTTTTGCATCAGATCACGGCTATAAGATCTAAAAGCAGCTTTGTAATCAGAGTATGGGATCAGAAGTGGTGTCACAGATTTGTTGAGTGCTGCCTTAACAGCAAGATCAGCCATCGTATTCCTAGAAATGCCAACGTGGCTGGGTAACCAACAAAAGACGATGTCGCACTGGCCAGTAGCAAGATCATTATACAATTAAATAATTTCTAATAAAAGTGGATGTTTACAAGAAAGGTTTTTAATAGCATGAAGACACGAGTGAGTGAGTGAGCTAATATTTGACGTCACATCGGCAATATCTCAGCCATATCATGACGAAAACAATTTATACAATAAAAAGTGAAAACATTTTGAAGATTACAATCTGTCGACGATGGACAGTAAAAATACTAGAGAATCACAGATATGAATATAAAACTAGCGAGCAAAGCTAAAACATTCCAATTAAAGAAGACAATACAATATAAAACACGGGGTATAGATCGCCAACTACTAAAGGTAGATCACCATACTAGGGACCATGGGGACTTACAGTACCTTTGCTACCTGCATGGACCCTAGTTGGATTTACACCATCCCTTCAGCTGTTGACGAGTGTAAGAAATGTTAGCCAAAATTGAAATAACAAGAATACTACGTTTAAAAATCCTGGTAAGTTTAAATTGACTTTGAAGGTTTTGGGACTTACGTACCCTCTCAGGAGGAAAAACATTTTACGCTACTTCAACCTCCTTTGAGGATACAGCCACTAACAATCTAAGTTGATAATCTGAACTACCAATTATAAAACTTTATCTATTTACAAAACCTATATCAAAATTCATTTAACAAATCTATCTCTTTTAAAAAACCAAATGATTAAATGGTAATTAACATTATAATTGGCAGCAAGATCAGCCATTGTGTTCCCAGAAATGCCAACATGGCTGGGTAACCAACAAAAGACGATGTCGCATTGGCCAGTAGCAAGTTCATTATACAATTCAATAATTTCTAATAAAAGTGGATGTTTACAAGAAAGATTATTAATAGCCCGAAGACGAGAAAGAGAATCGGAAAAGATTATGTATTGTTTATTAATATATTTAAGAGCTGTTAATATGGCGTTTGCTTCTGCTGTGAAAATAGAGCTGTTATTTGGTAGTCGAGAAGATATTGTTCGGGACACAATGACAGTGGCACTTGCCACCGCGCCACCATCCTTGGACCAATCAGTAAATAAGGATTTGTATGTATTATATTTAGTTTTTAATTGACTATATTCTTGTTTATATTGTAATTCATTAGTTTCAGATTTCTTAAACTTTGTCAGAGTTATGTCAACTTCAGGCCTCACTATTTGCCAAGGAGGAGAAGAAAGAAGACGGGAAGGAGCTATATTTTCCAGCTGAATTCCGGCAGCAGAAATGAATGGTTTAATTCTAAACACAAGAGGCGGAACAAGAGAAGGTTTCTTGGTGAATAAGTCCTCAAAGAAGGGATTGAAGACACAGTTATATGCAGGGTTAGATTTGTTAGCGTACAGATTGTTAAAGTTTTATACGGCGTTGTGTAAGAGATGGCTTTTCTGCCTCGACGTAGAGACTGTCAACAGGTGAAGTTCTGAAGGACCCAAGACAAAGTCTCAGACCTTGGTGGTGGACAGAATCTAATAGTTTCAGGTTGTTATTGCAGTCTCCACCATAGACGATGGAGCCATAATCAAGTTTTTTGAACGGACCAGTGATCGATATAGATGGAGGAGGGTAGTTTGATCCCCTCCCCATTTAGAATTTGAAATCACTTTCAACAAGTCAAGTGCCTTTAGGCATTTAGTTTTAAGGGATTTAATATGCGGCAGAAACTTTAAGTGTGTGTCAAACATTAGACCCAA